AGTTTTGGTTGAAGGAAATTTCTTTCCTAGGCCATGTTGTCTCTAATGGTGGAACATCAGTAGATCCTAGCAAGGTGAGAGATGTGTTGAATTGGAAACCGCCAACTGATGTGGGAGAGATTCATAGTTTCTTGGGATTGGCTGGATACTATAGAAGGTTTCTCTAAACTTGCCAAGCCTATGACAGCTTTGTTGGAGAAAAATGCTAAGTATGTGTGGTTCGAGAAGTGCCAAGCTAACTTTGAGGAATTGAAGAAAAGGTTGACTACCACCGCAGTATTGATTTTGCCATATTTGAGCAAGAGCTTTTCTATCTATTGTGATGTTTCTAGTCAAGGTCTCGGATGTGTTCTTATACAAGAAGGAAGAGTAGTGGCTTATGCATCTCGACAGTTGAGAAAGCATGAGCTAAACTATCCTACTTATGATTTGGAATTAGCAGCAGTGGTTCATGCTTTGAAAATATGGAGACACTATCTTGTCGGACATAAAAGTGATATCTACACTGATCACAAGAGTATAAAATACATTTTCACTCAGGCAGATCTAAATATGAGACAACGTCGATGGTTAGAGTCGATTAAAGATTATGACCTAGAGGTACACTATCATCCTGGAAAGGCGAACGTTATTATCGATGCTCTTAGTAGGAAGAGTTATGCCAATGAGGTGCAAGTGGCACCTATGTCGAGTGAGTTGTGTGCTGAATTTGAGCGACTGAACTTAGGCTTTGTCACTAATGCAGTGGAGATGGTGTTAGAGCCTATATTGGAGCAAGAAATGCGTAAGGGCCAGTTATAGGATGCGAAGTTGAAAGAGATAGCAGAAAACATAGTGATTGGCAAGGCACCAGGATTCTGTATGGATGAAAATGGAATTCTTTGGTTTAGGAAAAGACTATGTGTGCCTGAGAATAAGGCTATACGAGATGCAATTCTTCGTGAGGCACATGAGTCTGCTTATTCTATTCACCCTAGGAGTACCAAGATGTACTTGGATCTGAAAGAGAAGTATTGGTGGTACGAACTGAAGAGAGATGTTACTGAGTATGTTGCTTTATGTGATACATGTCAGAGAGTCAAAGCCGAACATCAAAGACCTGCAGGATTATTACAACCAATGAAGATACCTGAGTGAAAGTGGTAAGAAGTTGGTATGGATTTCATTGTTGGGTTACCACACACTCAGAGAGGTTATGATTCAATATGGGTGATAGTGGATCGGTTAACTAAAGTTGCTCACTTTATACCACCAAGACACTATGGACCAAAGTTCCCAATTATATAAAGAGAATATGTCTCTACATGGAGTTTCTAATTGTACATCTCTCAATTTATATCTCATTTTTTGCAGCAAGTACATAATTTATTGGGAACAAAGTTGAATTTTAGTACAACATAGCATCCTCAGAGAGATGGACAAACTGAGAGGATTAATCAGATATTATAGGACATGCTGAGAGCTTGTGCATTGCAGTATGGTACAAGGTGGGACAAGAGTTTGCCTTATGCAAAGTTTTCCTATAGCAATAGTTATCAGAAGAGTCTCAATTATGGCACCTTTCGAAGCTTTGTATGGACGAAAGTGTAGAACCCCATTGCTTTGGAATCAAATGAGAGAAACCCAAGTGTTCGAACCGGATGTTTTAAGAGACACAGAAGAGCAAGTAATGATGATTAGAGATAACTTGAGAGTGGCACAGTCTCGATAAAAGAGTTATGCTGACACTCGGAGAAGGGAATTGGTTTTTGAAATAGGGGATTATGTTTATCTAAAAGTATCACCTATGAGGAGTGTGAGAAGGTTTAATATGAAAGGAAAGTTAGCACGTATATTGGGCCTTTCAAGATTCTGGAGAGGCGTGGAGAAGTAGCTTATCAGTTGGAATTACCTGAGAGTTTGTCAGGTGTACATAATGTGTTTCATGTGTCTCAGTTAAAGAAGTGTTTGCGTATACCAGAGGAGCAGATATTGTTAGAGGAACTTATAGTTAAGGAAGATCTTACATATGAGGAATTTTCGGTAAGGATTTTGGAGACGGCAGAAAGAGTTACAAGGAGCCGAGTTATAAAAATGTGTAAGGTTCAGTGGAATCGGTATATAGAAGATGAGGCTACTTGGGAAAGGGAAGAGGATCTGAGAAAGACATACCCATAGTTATTTGAGTAAGCATCGTCTGAATCTCAAGGACAAGATTCATTTTAAGGGGGTAGAATTGTAACACCCTAAAATTTACATGATTTTGAAATAGGCGAAATGATTTAATTGTGCCTTTTGTGAGCATTTAAATTTAGGAAAATAATAACTTTGTTAAAAATAAAATCAAATATAGGTTTACATACATGTATGTGCATTCATGCTGCTGCATATTATTTTTATATTGTGTGGTTTGAAATCAGATTTCAAATTGATTTTAATTCATGCTAGCCCTCTCCCATCCGTCAAATCTAAGATCAAGGGCCAGGATTAGAACATACTCTTTCACTTGTAGTTTTGCAAAAAGACCATTATAACTAATCTCAACTCGTCGTCCCTGGTTTCTTTCAAAAGGACCCCTGCCTTTTCTTTTAAAAGTGGTCGTAGTCCCTCCGTCATTCTAAAGTCAGAATTTGATTTATTTTATTTCAAAAATCAAGTTTCACTTATTTACAAAATTGCCACTATCTTCTGTAGGTCATATCTTCTCCGTTTTAACTCTGATTTGATCCGTTCAACTTGCATTAGGTTCATAATTCCATAATCGCTCATACTACTGTTAGATATGTTTTCAACTTTTAAAATTCAAGGTTAGATTTAATATATTATTTTACTAAAGAAAATCTTGTTTAATTCATAACTTCTTCGTTTTAGCTCTGATTTATGTGATCTTCGCGTCTGGGTGTTCGTAGTAAGACGTAGATTTATTTTACAAACTTTTCATCTTGATTTTATGCTGATTGGTGTACTATTCTAATCTATAGCTTTTGTTTGCTATGCATGATTGCTTCTGGATGCTAGTATGTTGATGTGGTTATCGAGTATAGACAGTGAGCAATTCATGGATGACCAAGAGTATTACTTTGATGAGCAGGATCAGCAGGAGCACTTTGTTCAAGGAAAGTATAGCATGGGATCATCCTTGTTTTCCTATCAATTTTAATATATTAAATTTATGTTGCATGTGTCACCTTGATATGGATGTCCTAGTATTGAACTTATACCTTGTCTCCAATGGGATATGCATTTGGTAGCTTTGCTAGTGCTCAATTAAACCATGATCTTGTAACTTGACTAATGGTATATGCAATAAACGTTAAAACATGACTTTTTAGCAACTTGAAAACAGGGGGCTGGAATGTTTAGCTATTTTCTAAATGCTTCAGATTGCTCTCCCTAAGGACTTATCTGTAAGTGAATATCCGAGACTTACAGTATAGCTGTGAGGGCTACATAGCTCTGGCTTTAGCTCAGTATGAGGACCTTTTCTAGCTTGTTAGAGGTTACCTTTATTGGCGTAAGAATGGCTTACCGAATCGGATATAATGCGGCCTCTGCCCCAATGTGTATAGGTTGCGTGTCAATGTGCCATCGGGAAGGGGGCTCTACATCTGTTTGCTGAGTGAATCTAATGGCCCTAACTTGTTAGACGAACCTTTGAAAGGCTTTATAGTGACCTCTAACTGCTCACCTTGGAAGTGTTTTGGAAGTATTTAACCCGGGCATATGGGTAACACGACTCACAGTGAAAGTGTACAACCTCGGCAGAGTGTAAAACTGGTATATCAGTCGTGCTCACGGTCACGAGCGGCCTTGGACCCTTATGAAATAGATGATCACTAAAAATTATTGGTTTATGCTATTCATTATTTATGTTTACATTGATCATGTGTTTTATTTTGGGATTGAAACAACTTGTTGCTACTCTTATGCTAAAATTGTGACAACTAAAAGCTAAATGATGTTAAACCTATGTCAAGCCTTTTGAGCCTCATGAACCCCATGTTACACTTGTTGAGTACGACACGTACTTACTCTTGTTTATTTTCATTATTTGGATAAAAATGCCGGATAGGTAATAGATGGCTATGGTAATAACGACTTTCCTGAGGATTACTAGACTTGTGGTCAACCAGTTGACATCCCTGTGATATGGAGCTTCCGCGAGAGATATTTTCTTTATGCTTCCGCTATATTTATGTGAAGACTATGTCTTAATATTCGTGATGTAATAAACACTTGTGATGATACTATCTATAATTTATCGACTTATGTGTGTGACTGATCTCGGCACACATAAGATTTTACATCCCATTTTATCCTTAAAATTTGGTGTGACAGAAGGCCCATGAACCAATCGAGAACCCATAATAAAAGTTAAAAGCCAACACCGCACATTCAAGTTGTGTTGATCTTCATCCCACATGAAGACTGATGAACCACATCGAGAATCCAAATAAAAATTAAAACTTACACTCTCAAGTTATGATATGGTTAAGAAAAGGGATGAGCATGTCCCGTAAGAACACAGAAGTCAAGCAACTGAATACCTTAGAATGGGCTACAAATATTGTCACACCAAGATTCTGATAAGGAAAAGAACCCACAGGCATGTCACTGTAACCATTAGCACATTAGGCACTAGCATCAATAGAGTCTCTACCTGTGAAAATGCCTCAAAAATTTAGGCGGGAAATCACCCTCTCCAGTCAAATTCACTATGAACACTAGATGAATCGCGCAAAGATACTCCAGTTCCCTACAACAGCTATAGGAACCGTTCCAATTCAAGCCACCACAAGCCATAGACCCAAATCCTCACCACTATAGCTCCAAATGCAACCCTAGCCGCTTCAATAAAATCACAAAAGGCCATTAAATCGAACTGAACCGCATAGGTGAGACCCCACGCTCAAATCACCGGCCCACGCCCCATCCGACCCCCAAACGAACTACTCCCACGTGCAATCGCACCGAATCGAGCCGCACTAGCCTCGTTGAGGAGCAGGGAGACGAGGGGCTACCTCGGAGGGGAACTGCACGCTGAGGCGCTCGCAGAGGAATATGGCGTTGCGGTGCATGAAGAGGCAGAGGCTGCTGTGGACGCAGTCCACCATTAGGGTTTCCGTCGCCACCCGGCGGCGGCGAGCGCGAGCGAGGTAGTGCAGTGGTGAGCGCGAGCGAGGTAGTTCGGTGGCTGAAGCGCAGGCGGTAGGCGCAGCAGGGGAGGGTCCGATCGTTTGAATCAGACGTTTGAATCCAACAGGCTCTTGGTTTATATTGGATCAGTGTGCGACAGGTTGCCGACAAGTGGGCCATAGTCTTCGGCCCGAATTTGTGAACGTACTGGATCAGCTTTGGCGTCTCTGTTTTATCACTAGGGAAAGACGTTGCAACGGGTACATATTTTTATTAAAAAAATATTTATTCCAAATAGTTATCATACAAAAGTCATTTTATTTGTTTGGGCAATAAATAATGTGAAATCTGTGTCATAATAACTCAGAACCACCACCAAACCAAACTGATCAAACCACTCAACAATGACATTATAAATATATTTCTCATGTACATTTAGCAATGTACAGGCGAAATGCTAATATTGCAAAGCCTTCAAAGCTCTTAATGGTTTATTCTAGCAATAGGATGCATGCTCAACTGACTTCAGGCTTCAGAGCCTGTATTGAGTAAATCATTTGTCATGACGTACTAACCATATAATCCATCATTTTTTTTCAAGAACAAACTGAATTTAATAATTCTTCCATGTCGAAGCACAAAGGCCCATGCCATAATTTTCAAATCTTTTCCACTTAAATAGTGTAAAGTAGTCTAAGTTTCTTAATAAGGATATATAATTAATTCAAACGTTGTGGTGTTACAGACTCCTCATCAGCTTGAACGAACCACTCAGCACGGCCAAATTTGGCAGCACCATCAACCATGTTTCGAAGCATCGGCGATGGTACATATCCCTTTGATACTCCCGTGCGATTACTGATCGACGATATGATCGTTGTTGAATGGAGATATTTTATATTTAAAAAAAGAGGAATATTGGAGCAGCTCTAAATGAGAAGAACGTGAGTGTGAGCAATTGGCCATCTAGATAATCTTGTCCCATGTCTTAAAGCACACCAAAATGATGTCTTAGTAGTTTTTTTGCCATCACGAGAGATTGATCTGCGAATATAATAGAGATCATCACAACGCCTATGAACAAAGAAGGGAAAAATATCAAATACAATGTTCTTGATCTAAGATTAGCATTAATGCAAGAAAACAAACACAGGATTACCAAGTTAGCTCTTTAGATCTGCAGTGCAACCTTTTACATGATGGGCTTTCTCTCAGGTCTGAATGTGAGGTTTGACTGTTGCAGGCCGTGCTGTGCAGATATAAGCAACTCGGTTATGCCCATGGTCATTCTCATTTAGATTAGATTTAACTTAAAAAATCAGCAGCGCTAGCGTCTGAACGCCCACGTCTGCTACACGCCCGCGCTCTGCGCCGCACAAGCAGGGGACCACATGCGCTGCTCCTTGTGTTTCCTGCTTCCCACGCCCCTCCCCTCCCCTCCCCGCCACTCTAAGCGTTTTCATGCTGGGCCGCTCCCCTCCACACCTTGCATTGCTCCCCCTGTCGCCATCTCCCTCCACTTCCCCCCGTCGAGCAGCGCTCCATCCCTCTTCTCCCCACGCACACACAGCGTCCCAACAACTGTCGCGGGAGGTTGTGGTGGGTGGGGCACATTGCAACATGTGGAGGATCCCGATATACTTTTGAAATATCCAGATGAAACACTTGCAACATACGTCCGAAACAGCTAAAACACTTGAAACATATGTCTGAAAACACTTATGAAAACACCTAAAACACTTGAAAACACATGTGTAGCAATTGCAAAACATATGCAGCATCCAAATGAAATGAAACAATTGCAACATACATATCAAGCACCCAAAACACTTGAAACAAACGCTTGCAACATGCATGTTATGCAACATTCAGATGAAACACTTAAAATATATGTCTGAAACACTTGAAACATACGCTTGCAACATACGTATATTGTCATTGCAACATATTGAACGTCCCAGATCTTTTTTTGCAACATAAACATCTGCTTGAAACGTCTAAAACACTTAAATTAAAACATGACGTTGGCAGCCACGCCCTACCTGGTGAGGAACTGTAGTAGCCAGCAAGGTCGGATCAGGGGGCGTCGAGAACAACGGCCCAGCGTATGCCCAAGCGCAGGCGCACCGGCGGCGACCTCCTCCTGGGTGGCGCCGGGGTGGTGGTAGCGCGATGAACGCCATAGCCGCGACAGATGAGGTGAGAGGGGGGCGACGTGGGATGGTGGTGCGACGCGAGATTGGGGTGGGCGTGACGCATGATTTGGTTAAGTGAAGGATGGTCGTGGCGGCGATCCAGAGTGGGTGCGGCGGGCGGATTGCACGATGGAGGCAGCTGCTATAGACGGACGGCTTGGTGGAAGCGACTGCGATGAATGAGAGTGAGGAAATGTTCTGCAGGAGTTGGGAAGGCCAGAGGCCGGTTGCCTGGGCCGGAACGCAAGCCCAATATGGAAAGTGTCGGCCGGTGGACGCCCTGACTTTATCATTATCGTTAAAAATTAGATTATATTTGAACAAAATAAAATAATTTTCATTCGACAAGGTAGAAGGATTGCCAAAACGATCAACCACAATGGCGGAGCTAAGGGTGGGCCAGCAGGGGCCACGCCCCCCCTCCCCCAACACCGCTAAAAAATTTTAACGCCTATGCTGTAGTTAGGTGTAATTAACTTGATATTGTTTGCTTTTACTAATTTATACATAGATACATGGGCTTCCATTATTTTATTTGGGCCATCTAGCTAGTGTCGTGGACTCCACGCGTGCCTTCTCCGCAGGCCTTCGTGTCCCTGCATGGATTGTCTGCCTCCGCACCTATTGGGCTTTAATTTTTTTCTTCTCCTGTTCCAATTGGCCCACCGTGCCAATCAGATGAGCAAATATAACATCCCTCATTTTTTATCTATTATTTGATTGACAGGTTATATAACATCCCTTATTTTTTATCTATTATCCCAAATCATTTTTATAGATGGCAAATACTAAGCATTTTTTTCTTTGACATTTTTCAACTTTTCTAACTCTACCGTTTTTAAACAAATACGCTGAGGCGGGCATTCTCTGCAATGAAACTTGTGAAGACAAGACTCCAAAATAAAATGGGAGATGAATTTCTGAGAGATTGCTCGATAACATACATTGAGAAGGAGATTGCAATTGAGTTCACAATTGATACACTTATTGATAATTTCTATGATACTAAGACACGCAGAGTAAGACTAAAATGAAAAAAGGTTAGTTTCTATGAATACTTTTGCTTACAGTAACTTTTATGTAATGAAAAATATGAAACCATGACTTTATATGAGATATATTTGGTAAAGTATATCCAATCTTCATCTTCTCTGGAGTTCGATTATAGCAATCTATTAATTAAACTTGGCTGCCCCCTGTCTAAAAATCCTGGCTCCGCCACCGATCAACCATCTTCGATCATTGCACGGGAGTATCAAAGGGACACATACCATCGCCGGTCCTTTGCTTCGAAACATGGCCTATGGTGCTGCCAAATTTGGTCGTGCTGAGTCTTGAGTGGTTCGTTCGAGCAGATGAGCAGCCTCTGACGGATGCCCGGCCCGCTGAGGTGCTAGAGAACTCAGCCGGCTGCGGCCTGCGGCGCACAAGAGCCCCATCGAGCGACGGGCAGTACTCCCCCTGGAGTGAGCTCACAAAGCAAGATCCGGGAGCTGACCTGGCAAATCCCGCCTCTCCGATTGGCCAGGCCACGGCACCAACCCGTGTGGCCCCCACCCGCTAAACTGCCACATGCGAGGAACCTTCCTTTCCTTCCTCGCGAAGCAAGACTTTCAATAGAGAGAGAGAGGGTGTTTGATTAAAGGATATCTCATCGGATATCGTGGTGTACCGTGTTTTCGATACTAATAAAAATTAAATTATAAAATTTATTAATAATCTACGAGACGAATTTATTAAGTTTAATTTATCTATCATTAGCATATATTTAATGTAGCACCACACTATCAAATTATAGACTAAACATAAAAAATTTTATTTTATAGATTAATCTTAATCTATGTATTTATTTCGTAATTAATATATATTTAATACTCCGTTCATTTCAAACACGACAGTGGCTAAAGTTTGTGAAACCAAACATCTCCAGAGTCCGCTATAAAACCGCACAGCTGCGTCAACGACGACAAAATATCTCGCCGTCCGTCCCCATGGACATCGACCTCTTTCCCGACATCGACCTTGACGCCCTCCTCGCCTCCTTCTCCGGCGAACCCGCCGCCGTCTCCGACCTCATCGTCCCGTCCCCGCCGGCGCCGGCGGCGCACGATGCGGAAGCGGGGTCGCCGGAGTCGGTGACCTCCCGGGCGAGCCCGCCCGGGGAGGTGGCGCTCTCGGAGATCGAGAGGTTCCTGATGCAGGAGGGGGAGGCGGAGGGGGGGCTGGGCGGCGAGGTCGAGGGGATGAGCGTGGATCAGTTCTTCGACGCGCTGTACGACGGTGGGGAGGGGAAAGATGAGGGCGAGGCGGGGGCAAGCACGGATGCGGACTCCGGCAGGGACGAGGTGGTGGAAGTCGTGACGCCTGAGGCGGAGACGGTGGAGGTGGATGGCGATGATCCCATCAGCAAGAAGAAGAGGAGGTATGTTGATTCTGTTGTGTTGGTGCAGGACATGTGAAAACTGTTTTCCTCTTCGTTTAAGAAATTGATTGAGGGGATTTATGTATCATGCCTGCTAGTGAAATTTAGGAGCTACATAGCAGTTAGGGATGGACCATATGCCTAGGTTTGGGTGGATTATTGCTTAGGTTGTATGCAGAAATCGTGTTCCATCCAGTTCATAATGCGAGTAATAGGTTTGAAGATGTCAGTACTTAAGCTTCTGTTATGTTTGGTATTTAGTATGAACTCTACCGAATGAAAGAAATGTCTGCGGGTGATAACTAGCAGATTCGAATTCGTAAATCGCAGAAACTAGGAAGAGTTTTTGCAAGTATATTTG